AGAAAAAACATCAGAAATGCTCTTTTAACCCACGGACTCAATGCGGCCAAAAATACAGGTCTATTTGCTTTCAATCGAGGAGTCTCTTTACCCTTTAGAAAGAAAAAGAAGAAAAAAGGACAAACAGGTCAAGGAAGAAGAAGAAGAAAAAGAAGAAAGCAGACAGGGAGAGGGAGAATCCTGTTAGCCCGAGGGGGTCCTAAGAGAAAAAGGAAAAAACAAGGAGGAATTCCTAAAAGAAAACGTCATTTAGATGTGTTTGACTGAGAGAGAGTATAAATAGGACAGTCCAGGGAACAGAAGGTTCATTTGTGAAAACTGAATCCTAGTAGACACATCATGTTACAGCCCGATTCCTGTGCGTGTGGGATGAACAATTTAGAATTGTTTCAAGTCCCTCCGACTAATATTGCTTTAGAAGACTCGAAATGGGAAGAATATTACCCCATTTCCAGTACTTTAGATTCCGACACCGCTCCCATCGAATTTGAAATTAAAGGACAAGGAGATCACTATCTGGATTTATCTCAAACTTATGTTCAAATGGTATGTAAATTTACCAAAGACGATGGAAGTAATCTGACTGGGGCGAACAGCACTTCCAGTCCCGTGAATAATATCTTACATTCCATGTTTACGGAAATCGATGTCAGTCTGAATGGCAAAATAATAACTCCGGGGACGGATACTTATCCTTACAAAGCTTATCTGGAGAAATTATTGTCTTACCGACCCAGAACTTTAAAGACACAGACGAGGGCCTGTAGTCTGTGGGAAAAAGATACGGCAGGACACATGGACGAAGTGGGGTTAGAGGCTCTTGGTGTAGCTCAAAATAAAACCTTTGATGTAACTCAGGGTCAAGATGGTGGTGCCGACACGGTGACCATTAACGAACCCATCCTCACAGCGTTACCGGCTAATTCTAAAAACGAAGGATTCCGAAAAAGACACCAAGCTATTGCTGACAGTAAGAAAATCAGTTTGCTGGATACTTTACATTTGGATTTGTTTCAACAAGATCGATTTCTACCTAATGGAGTGGACGTCCGTTTGCGATTTAATCGAGCTAGACCCTCTTTCTACATGATGATCAAAGGAGGAAGTACAGGAAAAGTGAAAATATTGAGTATGATCTTGTGGGTGAGAAAAGTCAAACCCACAGCAGTCATGATGAATACCATTAATCAGAGTTTGAATACCCACAGAGCCAAATATCCCTTGAGAAGAGTGGAAGTGAAAACCTTTACCATTCCCATAGGGACCCAGTCTAAGATAACGGATCATCTGTTTCAAGGTCAGATGCCTAAACGTCTCATTTTAGGCTTTGTGGAGAATGCGGCCTTTAACGGAGATAAAACTAAAAATCCCTTTCATTTCCAAAACTTTGGGATCAAGAAATTAGATGTCAGTATCAACGGAGAGACCATGAGTACTCGTTGTTTTGAGCCTAATTTCAACGACGATTTATATCTGAGATCCTATCTCAGTCTGTATCAAGCTCTGGGGAAATTAGGAGAAGATTGGGCTCCGGACATTACCCTAGAAGAGTATAAAAGCGGCTACACTCTATGGGGCTGGGATTTCACTAAAGATCAAGAAGCGCAATCGGATAAATTCCACATCATAGAAACAGGAAATCTGAGAGTAGAAGTGCAGTTTACCAACAATACGGTTAACACCATCAATTGTGTGGTGTATGCAGAATTCGATAACTTATTAGAAATTAACAAACAGAGAGAAGTGAGCATTGATTACTAAAAAAAATGGATACGGGACAATTGAGAGAAGTCTTATCCAGAGAATTCAAGAGTTCTTTTGGAGGCGTGTATCCTGTAGATTTATTACCGGATCAATTAAGACCTGGAGAAAAAGCTGTCGTGGTCAATACGGATCCTCAAGATCGACCTGGAGAACATTGGGTGTGTCTATATGTGAGCAATCCCGTGGTGGAATATTTCGATTCTTATGGATTTCCTCCCTTACAAAAAGAAATTCAAGATTTTATCCAGCGTCATGCTCAACAATGGATTTATAATCCGTATCGCTATCAAGACTGGAATACCGATGTGTGTGGACAATATTGCGTGTATTATTTACATCAAAGAGACAAGAAAAGAAAGAAAACCGACGAGTGGCTATTCCCCTTTGACCAGAGTACGGCTTTACAAAGGGACAGATACGTAGCGAATTGGTTTAAAAACACTTATCATAAATTACCTACGGGTCATGGACAAAAGTGTCAATGTTTTTATCAAAATGTATTGTAAATGAGTTGTTTGTTGTTTGTTGTTTGTTGTTACAAAATAAAGAATGAAAAAAAAAAATCTGTGTTCTTTGTTTTGTCTTTTGTTAGTGTTTTCAGTAAAAAAATCCAGTTTGAACTGGTTAGGCTAGACTGAGCTTTTGACTGTGAAGTGTGACGTCATAATCTTGAATCGCTGCCAAGTATTTACCTGTGTAGTCAGCATAAAAAAAAACGTAGGTCTATCGTATTTTTTGCACACGGGTCCCTGACTTGAATCGCTGCCAAGTATTTACCTGTGTAGTCAGCATAAAATAAAAAACGTAGGTAAAACGTGCACAGGCCCCGCCCCCCACAGCAGGTATATAAAGCGGAACTGGGAGTACCCTGCACTCATTATTTAGCAAGCGAATTCCAAGAATATTAGACATGGAGATGGATAAAGATAAATTTGCCTTATTAGAAAAGAGAATGACGGAACCTATGGAGGGGGATCACGAAGCTCCTCAACAAAGAAGAATGGAGTTGAAAACCTTGGATCCGGAACCTAAGAATGAATATTTACCCCTGAATGAGCCTGTGAAGGATCCTAAATGTCCAATATGCCACCCGGAGACCTGGGAACCTACGGAGGGGGATCACAAAGCTTTTCAACAAAGAAGAATGGAGTTGAAAACCTTGGATCCAGAACCTAAGAATGAATATTTACCCCTGCATGAGCCTGTGAAGGATCCTAATGATCCAGACAGAAGTTACTCGATAGCCATTAATTGGACTTTCATTATTAAAGAGCCTAAAGAAGAAGAAGATATAGACATGTTTCTGAGCAACCAAGATGATTTCTTCTTTGGTTTCCAGTATTTGATTATACAAAAGGAAAGACATCCCTGGACAGGAGAACTGCATCAAATCAGGGGATTCATTCAAATGAAGGAACCAGAAGGAGGACTGACTATGTGCAGACTTCATATCGCTGCTGATTTTGCCATGTCTCACAGTACTCCAGAATTGGAAAGTATGTTTTACAAGCAAGGAGGTGACTATGAAGAATATGGTGTTCTGAAACCTGAGGAGAGAAATAAGGAATTGGAGCCCAGAGATTGGATAGAATGGGAAATAGGAGCTTGGAAGAAACCTGAAGCTATTGCAGCCAGAGAAGCTAGGAAGAAACAGTTCTTAAAGAATGTGAGCTGGTCAAGATGTGAATAAAAAAAAAAAAGATTTGAACTGTTATTTATTGTTAGATCTCAATAAAAAAGAAAAGAAAAAAAAAATGGTGGGTTTTTTGTCATTTTTAAAAAATAGGTTATCTCCCTTTAACCATAGATTTTTTCAAAAACACCAAAACAAAAAGTGTTGAGGGTTTTTTTAAAGATTGATAAAAATAAATACAATTTTAAAAAAGGTATAAATAGTAAACATGGTATAAAACACACCTCAGTTGTGGACTGGCTTCATTATGGGTAACACCTCCAGTAAAGAAATGAGTCAGAACACTAGATTAAAGGAAACTGAATGGTTACTTATACAGGAGGGAGGAAAAGATATCATACCACCTCCCTTGATGGTAGAACATCCTGCAGTATTTATACCACCTCCCTTGATGGAAGAACATCCTGTAGAATATAAACCTCAGGAGGAGGAAAAAGAAAACATAAGACCAAACAACAAACTCTTGGAGGATATTAAGGCTCATTATCAAAACAAACAGAAAGAAAATACAGGCAATGGATATATTGCTTACTTAAAACAAGACAGAGGTAGAATAGCCAATAATTGGATATTTAATTTAACTGGGTGCCGACAGGAAGATGTAGATCAAATCATTGGAAGTGATTATCAATACTTGATCTTACAAAAAGAAAGGCATCCAGAAACTGGAAAACTTCATCATGTGAGAGGATTCATTCAAATGAAAAACAGAGTTCAAGGGAGATACCTGTACAGAAAGATTCATAAATTAACCTGTTTTGAGATGTCTTACAGCACCCCAGAATTGGAAAGAACCTTTTATAGACAAGGTGACTATGAAGAATATGGAGTTCTAAAACCTGATGTGAGAAACAAAGAATTAGTTCCAAGAGATTGTAGATTTACCTGAATAAAAAAAAAAAAACTTGTTTTTTTTTTTTTAAAAATTCTTGTTGTTGTTCTATAAAAACAAGGGTGTTTTAAAAAATAGATTCATTTTACATCATGAGTCTCCAGGAGATACAAGGTGATTTACTCAACTGTGAGGTAGAAGCTATTGTTCATCAATGTAATTGTTTAACTGTAAAAGCTCATGGATTGAGTCAAAGTATTGCAGAGAAATTCCCACAAGCTAATCTCTATGCCACTCGCAGACCTCTAGGGACTAGAAATTTAGCCGTAGAAGAAGATAGAGGAATTCCAGGCACTATTAAGGTGTTTCCCTCACAAACCCCTGTGGTCATTTGTTTACTAGCTCAATGGGATTATGGAAAAGCAAGTCACCGACCTAAAAGAATTTCCACTTATCAGGATACCCCACAAAACAGAGAGCAATGGTTTCAAGCCTGTTTACAAGAAATGGGGGAAAGTTTACCTTACCAGACTTATGCTTTTCCTTACAAGATTGGGTGTGGACTAGCCCAAGGAAATTGGATTCATTATAGACATTATATTGAACAATTTGTACACACTTATGAAAAACATGTGTACATTCTTCATCATCATCATCATTAATTGTGTGTTTTCATGTGATGTAAAATAAAGAAGAAAAAAAAAAAAGTACCTTTTTATCTGTCATACTCTAATGTCTGTTTTAAACAGGAGATGAAGGTCCACCGCAATCCCCATGCACTCATAAGCAGATCTCTGGGGGGGGGGGGGGTCAGTAGAAACACTCAAGTAGTTTTTTTTTCTTTTCCCCTGTGATATAATGTCAAATATTTTAATGGAAAATTCAGAAATTCATCAGTAATTGGAGTCAAAACTTGCTATCTTTATAGTATTGATTTCCATTATCAGATTTTATTTTTTTTATTCCATTTTAAAAATATAAACATTTTAAATAATTATCTTAATAATAATAATGAAATAAATTAAAATGATATCTCATTGAAACTTTTTTTTTTAGATTCAAGTTTTTGTTTTTATGTTAGTTATTTCACTGTATATTTCCCAAAGGAAGACCAACAGCCAGGCTTCACTTCACTTAGAGAATGGATTGGTTAGGAACAAAACATATCTTCCAGGTTTGAGGACTGTATAGAAAAATAAAACCCATTTTTGTTATTATGATTTAAATTACATGAGACAATGTCTCTTATAAATGTAATACAAAAATAATATCTCTTATATATATGGATTCCTATACTCTAATCATATTAAATGTCATTTGTAAAATGTATTTTTTAAAGACAGATTTTATTTAGGATTGACTTTTTAAATGATGACATGAATAGCAGGCCATACTTTAAGCACATGACAAAAACATTCTCTCAAATTACACAGAAATGGATTATTTAGCATAGCTGACATTAAACATATAGATGAGGGATAACATAATCACAATTATAAACAATGTGAAACAACTTTAAACGACCTACAAGGTAGATTACAAGCCTTTTTCACTGGGGTAAAATCTCGCCGAAATTCGCTATGGCCGCCGAACCCGAACCCGACTGTATAAAGATGAAGTCATAAAAATAACATAACACTGATGTAGTATTACATGATTTTTTTTTTATTTTATTTCTTAAAAACTAACAATGCTTCTAACTGTCGAATTCTCCTCCGAAATCGTATTCGATCCGCTACTAATTGCATCCAGGGACTTCTCCGGTCTTCGGGGGGTAATTCGTAGATTTGATTGAGGCTGGTATTAAAAGTCACGGATTTCCTAGCCTGTGTGAAATTTCCAGGTATTTCATTCCGTATTGAATACATACTTTCTTCATCGCATCTATGTCCTGCCACAGTAAAATCACTTTGCCCGCTTGGGGATGGGTCAGGAAACTGTAAGGCTTTCCGAAATAACGGGTCAGGTTCAGTCCGTACCATTTCTGGGGCAGAATTGTTTTCATATGTAGACATAGAAAATGCATGGTAGCTAGTCTCCCCATACGACCCCCCTGACTTGAATCGCTGCCAAGTATTTACCTGTGTAGTCAGCATAAAAAACGTAGGTCTATCGTATTTTTTTTTGCACACGGCCCCCCTCACAGGTGATGCAACAGGTATAAAAAGGTAGGTCAAAGGTGCACACGGCCCCCCTGACTTGAATCGCTGCCAAGTATTTACCTGTGTAGTCAGCATATTTTTTGCACACGGCCCTAAACAAACTTGACTCGCTGCCAAGTATTACCTGCGTAGTCAGCATAAAAACGTAGGTAAAACGTGCACTCGCCCCACAGCAGGTATATAAAGCAAAAAACTGTAAAATTTGACAATCAGTCTTGCTTGACACTTCGAACTTGACAGACGTGAAAATAGTATGGCAGAAGCAATGATGAATACTCCACACAACCCCAGCTATGTGATACCTGAAGGGTATGTAGGAGCCCCCATGCCAGAGTCACAGGATGCAGTGGGATTAGATTTGGGTATGTATAATCTTCCAGCATATGCGAATAAAGAAGATATGGGCCTATTAAATACAACTCTGGCTGGGATTGTCAACATGCTGTCTGGTCTTGACAACAAGCTGACTGATCTGAAAAGTTACATCACTAAAATGAAAGGAGGAAGCACTTACCAGAAAAAACAAGGGGGATCAGGAGAAAAAAAGAAAACCAGACAGACGGATCCATGCTACATCTGCAAAGAGTTAGGGCATTGGGCCCCAGATTGTCCCCGAAAAAAACAGGATTCGTGCTATAAGTGCGGGAAATCTGGTCATTGGGCTAATCAGTGTACAGAGAATGAGGAGGATCAACAATTGGTTAAAGAAATACAAAAACTGGAGAAAAAGCCTCAGGAACCCAAGAGAAAACTACCCCTGATGACCGATAAGGCCCAGAAGAAGAAAAAGTAAATTGTTGTATTTTTTTACTTGAATAAAATCTGTGTTCTTGTTTCTATTGTGTGTTATTGTTTTTTTTTTCCATTTTCGGAAAATCACTGTGAATGAGTGACGTCATAATCAAATTCTTTTGACTCGCTGCCAAAATCGTAGTAGCAGCGTATAGTGTATAATGTAAACACAGTGTAAACACACCCCGTATTTAGGGGGCTATATGTAATGAATTGATCCCGGCTATCCCCCACCAGGGGCTGCACTCCGTTGAACCCCCTATCCCCTCCAGGGGCTGCACTCGCTTGACCCGGCTATCCCCCCAGACCCAAAAGTGCACTCAGTTGACCTCGCCATCTAGACCCTTTATACTACTGAGGACACTTATTGATTACAATAAAAAATTTTAAGTAAACTTAAATTTATTTTTGTAGGAAAATATACAAATATTAAACAGACGTGATTGACTCTGAGGTATCTTTTATCTCAAGCTCACCGGGATATATCATATAGAATAAGAATGAAAGCAACCATTGCTAATTGACAATACGTCGTCAATAGCACAATTGGTGCCCATGGGAACTCCAATAGATTGGTCTCCAACAAAAAACATAGATATTGACAATTAGAAAGGAAAGCATCTTTTTGATGTCAGCTTCAGAGTACTTTTGTGTACACTCAAGATGTTGTTAACAAAATAATTTTGCAAATGACCAATGACAAGGTAAGTAAATTTACGAGTTCGTTTTTAATTGAAAAACCAAACTGTCAATGATATAAAAATTCTGGACTTGAATTTATTGTTTGGAATGGTTGTATATAAAGTTGAAAAGTTGTAAGTTTTTAAGCCGTCAATTTTGTAAAACTTTGTAATTTCATAGTGTCCTAAAGTTCCTTTGAATACTGTAAATTGAAGAATTAAGACAACATTTTTGAACATATTTATGCCAAATAAAATAGTTCAAAAATAATTTTTTCCATCTGAGAATGGCAAATTATGCCAAAATTGTTTTGATTTTAAACTTAATTCTATTTCTACAAAGATAAAGAGTAGAAGATATGAAAATTAAATTAATATAAAATTTTGCATTTTGTGATGTATGTTTTGGAAATGCTGAGGAAGGTTGCCTCTACAAAAATTGTGAATTTCATGACCTCTAGCGTCAGGTATTCTGGTTTTAGGGCGAGGCTCTGTTGATGATATAGTGAAAATGCATTAATTCTTTGAAAATATTCTCTGCTCCTTGGTATTTAAGCCAATGAACTATGTACATAATTATGATGAGGAAGATTGCCTCTTTGAAATCTGCTTTTTGTTGGTATTGATCAAACATTTATAATGAGCAAGAGTGCCTTTTCCAAAATTGTGAAATGTCTGGCCCCAGGGTCAAGGGTTGGGCACAACTGATTAAAGAGTGAAACATGCATATTTTCTTTGTTCCTCTGCTTTGTCTGTGGGTATGAAGTAATCAAAGTAAATATGCCAAGGGTATAATTATAATGAGCAATGGTGTCTATTTAAAAATTGTGAAATTCATGGCTTTTGGTTCAAAACACGAACCAAATTGATTTTTTGGAAAGTTGTTACATGATGCTCAGGTGACTTATAAGAAGGCCCCTGGGCTTCTTGTGTAAGAATTTCAATTTATACAAATAGTTTTGAAGTATTATTACAGAAATGAATGCTTTAATACAGCTTACTAAAATAGAAGAGACATAAACCTGAATTTGACTTTTTAATATGTTTTAAAATTTGGACATTAATTGATTTTGTGTGATTTGTGTACATGCGCTATATATGTATATGAAGTCTTTTACTACGCTTATATCGCTTAATAATTTTAAAACTCGTACATATAATTTTGTATTAAGTTCTAGAGTTAAAACCTTTTTATTTAAATCATAACCATTTTTTAAAAAATTAATAGTTATGAATTTACAAAGGATAATTTGCAAACCATATTTTTGGCAGACTGGCTCCTGCTCTTTAGATAAAAAATTAAAAAATTGTTTTAAAAATTATAGAATTTCATCCTATTTATGCATTAGTAGTACATCCTTTTCTTTTTAGAAATGGTTTGGGACTATAAAACTTGAATAAACTTAAAACAACAAAAAAAAAAAAAAAAAAAAAAAGCCCTATGACTTGTGTCCAGTCAGTAAATATAATTAAACATTAGTAACTAGTTATTGCAATTTTACTGTTCAACGTTAACGTTCTAGTTTAAGATTAACTCACCCTATTTGCGTTACACTGAAAAGGCCTTTGGAATCCTTCAACGTATCCCTTATCTGAAAGTACAGCTGCCCATACTATGTACAGCGCCAGCAACATCTTCATCGTGAATAAAAAACTATAATTCTTTGAAATAACCTGTAAAACTTTAAAAAGGTGTCAATCCCTCCAAAAGTTCACTGCGTGCAAACATACAAATAAATGACATTAGAGACATAGTTAATCATGATCGGTCGAAAAATTGTCAAATTAATGTTTCACTGTGTTTTTATGAATAAACAACTTTATTTCAAAGTGGTGTTAGGGTTAAGGATAGCCTTTTCGAAGATCTAAAATGTTTATTCAACTTGTATAATTGACGTGATGTTTTTTCCTTTGAAGATCACTGTGGTTTTATTTTTGATACACCATGACTAACTGTGATCTAACAACAATGTTCTATCAAAAACAGAGCACGCCAGAGTGATGATGCACCAATTCTTATGACCCTTGACCATATACACTGAATAAGGAATAAATATACATGTAAAACAAAGTCATGTAAATATAGTTGAGGTATAACTTTCCTAACGTAAGAAAATTAAATTTTGCACTCGCCGATTTTAAATCCAAAATGGAATTTACACAGCAAATTTTTTAATGATTCAGAAGGTTTTTAATTGACTCTCAAAAATTTGAAGTGTAATTTGCATGAAGTTTATTAATTCCAACACAAATTGCTACATCCAGTCAAAAACTCGCAGAACATCTTGGTCAAAAGTGGACATTCTCCCTTGCGGTAATCGTTAACCGTTTAAATTGTCCAATTAGTATTTTTTTTAGTGTTTAAGAGTAACCGACATAAGGAATTTAGCAAGATAATTTCGGTTTCCATCGAGAATTGCCATAGCATAAAATCACAACCGTCATCCATGACGTTTTTTCATTGGTCATTTAAGGAGGTATTTCATAACTATGGCACGCCAAATTCACAAAAATGAGCTAAACATAATTTCACGGTTGTTAAACTAGGTTTATCAGTTGTAAAATATAGTTTACGGACTGTAAACTATAGTTAATAACGATAATCTGTATTTTACATCTGTAAATCATAGTTAACGCGATCATCTATGTTTCAGAAACGTAAACTATACTATCGTACTTAACACTGAAAACAATCATTTGCGATTGCAAAACATAGATTATCTGATAAATACAGTTTCATGATTTGTAAACTATGGTTTACAACTCTTAACTACAGTTAACGATCTGATAAATATAGTTTCACGATTTGTGAAACTCTGATTAAAAACCCTTAACTATAGTTTACGATTGTAAATTAAAATTAACAGACGTGAATCTATGATTATCAATAAAATCTATTGTTAACGTTTTATTACAGACAAATAAACTTAGATTAGCATTCGTAAACTATGGTTAACAACCGTTAAATATAGTTTTTCTGATGAAAACTATTGTTAACAAATCGTTAACTATACTTCACGGATTGTAAACTATAGCTTACAGTCGATAAACCTAGTTTATCAACTATGAAACTATGTTTAGCTCATTTTTGTGAATATGGCGTGCCATACATAAACGCGCTAGCGCATCATGAAAAATGTGCTGGCGTGCAAGATATGCACCAATATTTGCATATCCACTACTCTCTCCCACTATGAACATCTAGCCATCAACTGCGTTCATTGGACTATAGACGCAACTGCTTCCACTATGACTGCAAGTGCTCTAGCTCACTCGTGTAGAACAAGCTCTCCTACACTCATACACCGTGTTGAGAAGTATATATATGAAATGTTTCGTAAAAGGACTAAATATAAGTTTTTAATGATATTTTTTGGAAAAAAAGGAATTCAGAACAATTTGAAATTGCTGTTTGATATCTTTAAAAATTTAATTTTGGTCAAAGTATTTAATTGTAAAATAAAACTTTTAAAAAATTGAATAAAACTCCATATTTTTATTTTTTCGTATCATGCATACTTGTACAAAGAACGATAACTATTCAAACTTGGGTAATAACATTCAAAAAGAGAAAATTTCTTTAACTAGTAGATCTATATCTATTTCAAGAAAAAATAAATAGAAAAAGTACCCAAAAAATCACAGAAAAGACTACTGGAGTAATAATCATAATAAATTTTTGTCATAGTGTTTAATTATTGATTTTTGTCAGAGGATTTCAATAACGTTGATCGATGACGTCACGACTGCATCAAAACAAAAATTAAGAGAATGTGATGACGGCGCTGCTTGTATCCAGATAACTGTGTTTGAGAGGGAAATACTTTTATTATAAATTGTGATTTATTAGAGAAAAGGAGTATTGATCAGTGTATTGATTTTAAAGCCGTATGGTTTTCTTTACTGAAGACAGAAGAAGCTGCGTCCTTATGTAAGTCAGGATTTCCTCTGATATTCTTGTCAACATCAAAGAATGCAAATATAAGTAATAAACAACGATTATTTAGTGAACATGGCGTAATGAATAGCAATAGCTCTGCTGGCATATTTTCCATGATGCGCTAGCGCGCATCATGGAATATGCCCATACTACCCATAGTCCTCTGCATCTCCGCACACAGAGAGGTTTGGTACAAACGAACTCTGGCGGAAGTTTGGGAATATGCCAGCAGAGCAATTGCTATTCATAACGCCATGTTCACTAAATAACGTTGTTTATTTCTTAAATAATTCACACTAAGCTTGTATCATTGTTCTCAGGTAAATCATAACATTTTATATGACCAACGTAAAAAAGAGCCCGTGATTCAAAAAGTTTAGCGCGCTGTATTTCTTTGAACTTTAGAACTACAGTACCTCGCCCATTCAAGTCTCAACGCCATGGATGACAGTTGTGAGATTGAGCTTATAATGGCAATTCTCAGTGGAAACCGAAATAATTGTGGGAAAATGCCTTATGTCAGTCAATCTTAACACTTGTAAAAATTATACTAAATAGACAATTTAAACGTTGAACGATTATCGTAGGGGCAAACGTCAACTTTTGATCAAGATGTACAGCGATTCTCTGAATTACGGAATACAGCGATTTGTGTTGGAATTGATAAAACAAGACGGCCCGGAATGTCCATCTTTTTTCCCGTACTACATTGTATGATGTCAGTTTTGTTACACTTCAAATTTATGAGCGTTAAAACCACCCCTACTAATGTGTTCGGAACATTTTATTTTTCGGTGTTCTGCAAATTATAAGCCCGATGAGTTCTGAGTAGCTCTGGCAGTGGCTCTGGCGAGAGTTAGCGAGACTACAGCGAGATAGGGTAAATTATTCACGGAAATGTGGCTAGGAAGTGACTAGCCCGTGGAGATATGGTAAACAGAAAAGTTATGTTGCATTTCAATTTTCACCACCCTATAATATCTGTAGAAATGTACTTAATCGATCTCTCTTACATCCATTCAAACTCAAATAAGTATTCTCTATAATACACTTTTCTGCAGTAATGAATTAAAATTTCTCTTTGGACAAAATTTTGCATGGGAACCAGGACTATATTTTTGGCGTCAGATTAGCAAATGCGGCACCAAAATGACTTTGAATGACCAATCAGCTGAATGAGAATTGCATTATGGGTTACTACGAATACAACAGGAATTTTACACTTGAAAGAAAAGAAAACTATGGAAGTAAATGAAAATCATTTCTTAAAATTCTATTCCTTTCATGCTCACAATGACAAAAAAGTCATTTGAATAAATGGTTTCTCAAAGTCATACTGCAAAAAAGCGATTTTGTGCTGTCTTAATTCCTTTGTTGTACTATCGGTGAATACAATTGTCAGGTGGATTCCCCGGCTACGTGATCACGAGTATAGTTATGTAAACAAAGTTCTGTCCATTTAAATGCTTACTTGAAGCGCTGGTGTTCTAAAGTAGACACAAGCTACATTTTATTAAACATATTTTTTTCTAGCTAACAACAAATCTTTCATAGTTTCTAATCTTTGTATTTTGTTCATAAGAATGTTTTTTTTTTATTTTGCACTCCATTGACACAATCATAGATTGACCTGAACCACGTGTTCGAAGTAAACATGTATTTGGCGTAAACGTTGCTATTCATTGGTCAGTTGCTCGTGGTAAGATCCTCTGTGCGCATTTATAACAATAGCCATATAAGGCAAACAAAGGTTTGTCAGTGTGGATGAAATTACACATATTTTTTACCGGCGCATCGGTCGCTAGTGAGCTCTAATTTTCGCCATAAAGTATGATACATTTATATTTTAAACCCCCCCCCCCTTTAGCCACCCTATTTCTGTTGAAAATCATATAAGTCTTTCAAAAAGGTCTGGAATCACATTCTTACAGGACATGTTTTCAAAAGAAAAAGACTATAGCAATTTCCTGTTTACTGCCAATTCTAATTATAAAACTGGTTCTACCTTATAATCCTTGAATAGGTCAACCTAAACCACGTGTCTTGAATTTAAATCACAATAACATTAGTAGGGGTGAAACATTCATTTGAAAATGTGCTGTGTGAACTCCATTTTGGAAAAATCGGTATGCAAAATTTAGTTTTCTTAGTACAAAGATAGGAAAGGTATACCGCTAGTTAAGGTCTTCCGTTTCCAACGGAAGACCTTCTACTGATTCTGATGATTAAGATTATTCTTATTAGGGTCTTCCGTCTCCAACGGAAGACCCTTCTATTATTCTATTGTTTCTTCTTCACTTTTATTATTCTTCTTTTTCTTTACAATTTTTGTGCAGAAGATTTCTCGGAGATGGCTTGATCGATTTTGTTCAAATTTTCAAAGATTATGTGTTTCTATCTGAAGTTTGTGCCCCCGGCTCAATTTTGAAAAAAGCACTTCCGGTTGGAAGTTATCGCCCTTTTACTGATTTTTAGAGGGTCTCCTTGTCCATGAGTAAACTCAAAAACGACATTAGCTAGAGAGCTGAAATTTTTAGCGATGATAGTCGACACATTGCTGAATTGCGCATTGGATTTAAAATTTTTCAGAAAAGTCCAAAATGGAAGCTCGGTAGGGGTCAAAATCTAGGACACGAATCATTGGTGAATTTTCGAGACATTTTGTGTTATATCTTTTAAAGTATAATTATTTAGTTAAGACATACTGAACAACATTTGTGGGGAATGACAAGACCTTTAATATGACACCAAGAAAAAAGTGCTGACTCATCACATTAAGGACAAAAAGGGGCCATAATTATTCATTCAAAAACTGTCTAGCAATCAGTTTTTTGTTATATATTACTGAAGCAAAAATGTTTATCTCAACAATCTACAACTGTATATTATGATTTTAATGTCGTATATTACATGATTAGGGGCCAAAAGGGGCCAGAATGCTAAATCTTTGACGCTTTATATCTCGAAAGTGAGAAATATTTTGACAAGTTATGTTGAACAAAAGATGTTCAAAATTATGTTCTGAACAATATGCAATCTTTAATTTTTCGCTAAATGCCCCCATTAGGGAGTTGAAGGGTTGGCCCCTAAATATTTCTTTTGCGAATAACTCGAGAACGAAAAAGAATCTCTGAATAGTTGTTGAACAAAAAGTGTTCAAAATCTTAAGAGCTTTAAGATGAAATCAAGAAAAAGGGGCTGGGCACTCAAATTAGACGCCAATAGGGCCTAAAATCTTTTTTCGATAACTCTTTAACAGTCAATATTTTGTTATACATTACTGAAGTAAAAATGTTTATTTCAACAATCTACCACTGTATATTATGATTTTAATGTCGTATATTACATAATTAGGGGCCAAAAGGGGCCAGAATGCTAAATCTTCGACGCTTTATATCTCGAAAATGAGAAATATTTTGATAAGTAATATTGAACAAAAGATGTTCAAAATCATGTTCTGAACAATATGCAACTTTACTTTTTTCGCTAAACATCCCCATTAGGGAGTTGAAGGGCTGGCCCCTAAATATTTCTTATGCGAATAACTCAAAATCGAAAAAGAATCTCTGAATAGTTGTTGAACAAAAAGTCATCAAAATCATGAGAGCTTTGAGATGATATGAAGAAAAAAGGGCTGATCCTTAATGTTTGGGGCCGTGAGGGGCCAAAAGTCGATTTTTTAAAAGTCTTAAATGTTAAAGGTCTTTTTCTGATTATGGAAAATCATTATTTTAGAATGAAAATCTCAATCAAAATCTTATCTCATCTCATCAAGAATCGGACGGAAGACCCACTCGTTGCTCGCAACGAGATCGTATCTAGTTATTCTTTTTTTTTTTTTTTCTTCCTAGACGCCAACTATGAGGCCTCATATCTCGCTCATTTCTCAATGGATTTTGCTCAAATTTTCAGACATTATAGACGATAATAAACTCTATCAGAATGCTGTCTAACATTTCAAAAATTTACTTCCACTTATGAGTTATTCCCCTTTAAACGAAAATTTATAGGCTTTCATTTCCAGATAAAGGCTCAGAGACCACTAGAGCTGGAGCAGAAATTTTACTGTTTTTAGATAACAGAAGGATTGAAGTTGTGCACATCGGTTTTTGTTTTTCGATTTCTGTATTCAAAATGGCGCTATATAGGGGTCAAAAATGAGAACGCCTAAAAAAGCGAAAATTTACACATATTTTCCTTTATATCTTGAAAACTAAAAATATTTTGTTAAGACATGTAGAACAAAAGTTGTGCATAATTGCAGGGGCTTTGATATAATACTACTCAAAAGGGGCTGGCCCCTATAATTAGGGATTTAGGGAACTTGAAAGTTTTTGATTTATAACTCGAAAACGGTAAAAATTTCGATCTGGATCTTACGATCAAAATTGTTCTTTGACACCTTTTTGTTCGATGAAAATGTTGTTTTGCTCGATTATACCGGGGGTATTGCGTAACACGAAGTAGAAAGCAGTCCAGGTAAACAGGGAGCGTTTTTTATTTGGAAAGGGAATCAGACCTCTTCATGTGTATAATTTACACATACTTCCTATCAATAATATACCCTATGGTATTTATTGTTAAATTTCATCTAAAAAGGACTTTATACATGCTTTAAGGTTCACTATTAAATTTTTTATAACAATTAGTCTTTCTTTTTTTATGTATTATTAATTAGTTTTATAGTGAACACGTCTTCATCGGAATATAATAAATCTATCTTTCTACATTAATTATTATTGTAAGTAATTTTAAACTTTATTAATCGAATAATTCACGATCATTTAGTTGATCTCCACGTTCGCCTAGATGTTATGTAATCCAACGCGCTAATCCCACGGTGCCTATCGAGGTCACTAGTGTACCAGCCACCTGTTGTCGTAAACAAAGCAAGTGTCTGCATTGTCTGTGATCGTGTATAAAATCCATTGTGTACAAAGACCCATCAATTAATAGAAAATTGTGTTTTTAATTAATCGAATCAATAAGAATAATTCACCGATCTTACATTAAATCGCAATTTCTAACACTACATAAAATCATTTTGAATTTTGATCGCTTTCTTAGATAAAAATGTACCTTTCTCTTGAGAATAGGTATATTCTTTTATTTTCAATAACGAGAAACTAGATGAAGAAGGAAACACATTCCGGTAGAAAAACTCGGTAGGAGTTCGGCAAGACTGGAAGGTTTACGGTAGGAATGTTGCCGTTTCCTTTCTAGAAAATGTAATACCTATGGACTTTGAAATAGCCCTTTTTATCAATTTATTATATGTTGAGGTAAATATTTTTACACAAAAGACCTCCCGTACATCGGTGTAAAAGTAAGACGTCAATTGTGGAAGTCAGCGCTAGTCACAAAAGTCCAATAATCCGTATTTATTTCTAATGAAATCTTTACCTGATCAATAAAGAGGACTTAAGTTGCCCGATTAAAGGGAATGCTTACTCCTTCATTTTCGTTCGTCCAACCTCTGATGTTTTCAGGGATCAATGTTCGCCCTGTCCTCATTTTGTAATGTTTTGTTGAACTTTTGAGCATAATAACTGTTTTGTTATCTTCTAATTTCATCCTCTTAAAATTGAAACATTTTTATACATTCTTTGAAATTAATTGACAGAAAGCCACTTGCATTAGCAATGACTCCAGCAGGAACAGAGGATGTGGTTACTTTAGCCCTATCTGTTGCATTTGGACTGATGGCATTTTGTCTGTTGATTACTAGTATAATGGTACTTGTGTATTTCGTCTATATAAGAAGAAAATGGAGTAAGTATATACACTTAATAAAACTTTAAAAAAGTGTTCACTCTAATAAATGCATTTAATTAAAAACTACTTTATAGAATGGTTTGATATTTTCAAATGATTACAACAAATGAGTCTTCTCAACAATTATTGAATGAAAATAAAATATAACCGATGGAAACCAATTTTCCGTGACGAAGCTTTAAAACAATAAACCTGTACATTGTGGCATGTGTTTTGTATAATTTGCACCTTTTTGTGCTCATTATTAAATTTTAAAAACTGACTTCACTAAAAACACAAAACATTGGCAATATGATCATTGGGAAAGCAGGGAGAGCCGTTGGAATGTTGATATCTGGATCAACCTTGCACCGCGTTTTACTGAATTTTATTTTTAGTTTTAAATTATCCTTGATGTTACTTTTAAACAATCAGTAACCAGTAAGTATCATCATTTTGTGCTGTGTGTCATTTTCATCGCCAGTTTATCATAATTTGAAAGCTTTGGACAAAATTTAACCAAACTGGAAGTGATCTGGAGCTTTGTCTGAGGCCGAGGTTTTGCATCACACCAGGTTTAAGAGTTGTCCTGAAACATTTTCAGAAAAATAAAAACAAACAATATCAAACGAATGAAAATGATAAGAAATCGATGGTTTTGGCAGTCTAATATCATCCCATAACAGTCTGAATCATTCTTAAAGCGGGCCACTAGTACTTATGTGCTAAACGCCCAAGGATATTGACCAAAAGACATCTGGGGGATAATGTACTGCCATATCCCCGGATCTGAATCTCTTTTAACACATTTGGGAATTTAACTGGTAATAGTAAAGCCCCTCCCCCATCTACAAATTTTAACAGTTTGGATCAAAAGATGTACACAGTAGGTGTAGCGGCAGATGGGACAATATTCTAAAAAAATATTAGGTGAACAGAAGATTGGTTCAGTGTAGACTTAAGTGCAAAAAATAACTATGCATTTGTAAATTTATCATGAAACTCAAATAATATTGTTTATAGTTATAAGCGGATATGGAGAAAACGAAAAGATTTCAATATTAAAGTTCTTAAAACAATACAAAATAGGAGCAGAGCAAACACGTAGATCCGAAGGTGGGATCAGGTGCCATGGAGGAGTGAGCATTCCCTGCTGACCGGTCACACCCGCCGTGTGCTCCTTGTCATGTTCGGGAAATAACGGAAAAATCCGTCGTCAATTCAGTGTATAAATAATGAACTAAGAATTAGTATAAAAACGTCAATCGGTATTTGACTCAATGATAAATTTTATTTGTATCGACCATAGAACCAACGAAACGATGGCTTTAAACGAGAGTGCTGATATTCTTGTTTAATCAGCTTGCTTGTCAATAATTTACCTTGTTTTAGAAATTGTTCATACGTAGAGCATGCTCTTGGTATCGAATCAACTAAGATATATATACTCCGTATGCAGGTGATGAAGGTATATTGATGCGTATGTAAGGGAAGTTGACGATAGAAAAAGAAAAGTCATAACGTTTATCACATTGCTTGCTTGTTAGATTACCATTAACGACTTTTTCACGTAAAATATCCAAGTATGAAACAGATGTGTCAGACTCTGTGGTGTGTTTTATCTCAAGCTCACCAGGATATATCAAATCGACGTAGAATGGAAATGACCAATGTTAATTGACAATACGTCGTCGATATATCTAAATGTTGAGTTGAAGGACACAGCAGTTTATAATTGATACAGATAGTGATATTAATGACAAATCTCAACTTGACTCTTTTCACGGACTTTTCGTGGTGGGCATGCAGGTTTTACTTTTTGACGTAATTGTATTTGCGTGGTATATCGGGCAATACTTTTTTGTCAAAGATTGCGAGACATTTTTCAAGATTTGTTCAGAAAATCACTTTGGTGTAAGAGAATTTGCAATTTCGCTATGCCAAGGCTATGTGTAAATCAATGTCTTTGTGCTGTTGGGTTCTTGTAGGCTGGGATGGCATAAAATGTTGTTGCACGACAATTTTGGGTTCACATAAACACAACCTGTCATTATAAAGACGTTTTTAACAATATGGCAACACTTTGGATCGACTAAGTTCAGGACGTTCCCGTGTAACGTCGGTTTTCCAGGATAACCATATCAGACTAATGCATCTACGACATCGTTTTCAGACAGCAAGTTTGACTGCTCGTAGCATCCCTCGTCTTTATAGGCGCAAAAGTGCAAGAAGTGTGCGTAATCGCTTGCGTGAGCATAACATCAGATCTAGACATACTGCGGTCCGTCCTGTACAGCTCCAACGTCATCAAATTTGATCCTTACGTCGCGGGTTCGAATCCAACTACTGGTCACGGTAGCCTACTGGTAGAGCGTTCTGGAGGCCCGGGTTAGATTCTTGTTCACGCTGCAACGTCATACCTAAGAGGTATAACTAGGTAGTGACTGTTCCTTTGTCAAGGGCTCGGCACTGGAAGTGAAAGTCACGTGTCTTCGGATATAACCTTAAAACGTAGGTCCTGTGTCAAGGTAGGCGTTGGCACGTTAAAGAACCTTCAGTGCTCAATGGCCCTGAGTGCCGAGTATATGTCTTAATTTTAAGCCCTTCACCGGCATACGGTGACGTCTCCGTAGGAGTGAAAAATTCTCGAGAGGGACGTTAAACAACGTACAATCAATCGAATCCAACTGTGGAATATGAGAACCGGTCCTTCGGATAAGACCGTATAAACCGAGGTCCCGTGTCACAGTAGGTGTTGACAGGAAAAAGATCCCTCACTGCTCAATGGTTATGAATGCAGAATATGGGCCAAACTTTGCAGCTCTACACCGGTAAATGGATGTGTCTCCATATGAATGAAAAATTCTAGAGAGGAACATTCAACAACAAACAAACATATTATCGCTCGGCCTTATTGACTATTCCCTGAATACTCTGCTACTTCTTTAAATTTGCTATTTAATATTTATCCTAAATGTTTAGTAAGAACTCTCCGATGGTCGACTGAATTGACTTCGAATTTTCCTGTTATTTCCCGATCATGACAAGGAGAACACTGCGGATGTGACCGGTCGACAGGGGGCGCTAACTACTTTGTGGCAACTGATACCAACTTTGATGTATTAGGGGTCCGTGTTTTCTATGCTATTGATTTGTATTGTTTTAGTAGACTTCTTAGTTTGACGTCTTTTCGATAGATAATTAGCGCAATTTCAAAGATTTCTGAGAAATCGACAAGTTCACTTTTAAACCATCTATATACGAAGTTAAAACATACCTATCTTTTATGTCAAATCATAAAGTAAGATTAAATACATGAAATATCCAAAAATTTTCAGATCGATGGAATTGAATATCGCTAACAAATTCTCATTGACTGTTTTTTAGATCTTTTGAAAAAATCGCTAAAATTACTTTTTGTTAAAAAATATATATGTATACTTGTTTTTAACGGTAAATCGCCAAAAGCGTGTCAATAAAGTCTCTACTTATTTGATACCCATTTTTTTTTTTACTGAAATCATTGTTTCAGAAAATAGGAAGAGGAAACACAAAGACTTCAACCAGCATAACTCGAGAAAATGTGAAGAAACAGAAAATGAAATTAAAAATCTTTTAGAAATAGATGGTAAACCGAATGATGAACCGAATGTGCCATTACATGAAAGAGGTTACATTTCAGAACAATCAAGCGCTAGTATAAATTACATCAAAGATGCAAGTAATACAGAAATATATGCTCTTTATTCAGCCTGTAAGAATGGAAAGACAGATGCCTGCGAATATTTCATCAATCGCTATCCAGATATGCTTAATCAGGTAGATGATGAAGGATGGAACGCTGCATTTTATACTGCAAAAGGAGGTAATGTTAAAATTCTAAAACTTCTGGCAGAAAAAGGTGTCGATATGACTTATAAAACAAAGGATGACGGAAATATTCTTCACATCGCTTGTGTTAATTCTCGATTAGAAATGTGCCAGCATATAATCCAACAATATCCAGATATGCTTAAGCAGGTGAATAATTATGGATCGAATGGTGCTTTTTATGCAGCACAAGGAGGAAATGTTGAAATTTTAGAACTTTTGGCGGAAAAAGGCGTCGACATGACATATACAAACAAGAATGGCAGTAACATTCTTCACATAGCCTGTGGTTATGCTAAGTCAGAAATGTGCCAGTATACCATCCAACATTATCCAGATATGCTTAAGCAGGTAGATAATGATGGATCGAATGGTGCATTTTATGCAGCACAAGGAGGAAATGTTAAAATTCTAGAACTTTTGGCGGAAAAAGGCGTCGACATGACATATAAAAACAAGGAAGGCTGCAATATTCTTCACATTGCCTGTTCTTATGCTAAGTCAGAAATGTGCCAACATATCATCCAACATTATCCAGATACGCTTCAACAGGTAAGTAATGAAGGATTGAATGCCGCATTATATGCTGCACAAGGTGGAAATGTTGAAATTTTAGAACTTCTGGCACAAAAAGGCGTCGACATGACATATAAACACAAGAACGGCAGTAATATTCTTCACATTGCTTGTATGAACTTTAAATTAGAAATGTGCAAACATATCATCCAACATTATCCAGACATGCTTAATCAGGTAAATGATAATGGATGTAATGTCGCATTTTATGCAGCACAAGGAGGAAATGTTGAAATTTTAGAACTTTTGGCGGAAAAAGGCGTCGACATGACATATAAAAACAAGGAAGGCTGCAATATTCTTCACATTGCCTGTGCTTATTCTAAGTCAGAAATGTGCCAACATATCATCCAACATTATCCAGATATGCTTCAACAAGTAGATAATGATGGATGTAATGCTGCATTATACGCCGCAAAAGAAGGAGGAAATGTTGCAATTCTAGAACTTCTTACAGAAAAATGCGTCGACATGAGATATAAAACCAATGATGGCGGCAATATTCTTCACATAGCTTGTGGTAATTCTCGATTAGAAATGTGTCAATATATCATCCAACATTATCCAGATATGCTTCAACAGGTAAATAATAATGGATTGAATGCCGCATTATATGTTGCCAGGGGAGGAAATGTTGAAATTTTAGAACTTCTAGTGGAAAAAGGTGTCGACATGACGTATAAAAATAAGGATGGCAGTAACATTCTTCACATTGCCTGTGCTTATGATAAGTCAGAAATGTGCCACAATATCATCCAACATTATCCAGATATGCTTAAGCAGGTAAATAATAATGGATGTAATGCCGCATTGTGTGCTGTACAAGGAGGGAATGTTGAAATTTTAGAGCTTCTGGCAGAAAAATGCGTCGACTTGACATATAAAAGCAAGATTGGCAGTAATATTCTTCACATAGCTTGTGCAAATTCTCGATTAGAAATGTGCCAATATATCATCCAACATTATCCAGATATGCTTCAACAGGTTGATAATGATGGATGGAATGCTGCATTATGTGCTGCACAAGGAGGAAATGTGAAAATTCTAGAACTTTTGGCGGGAAAAGGCGTCGATATGACATATAAAAGCAAGGAAGGCTGCAATATTCTTGATATCGCTTGTATTAATTCTCGATTAGAAATGTGCCAGTATATCATCAAACATTTTCCAGATATGTTAAAGCAGGTAAATGATTATGCACGGAATGCCATATTATGTGCTGCACAAAGAGGAAATGTTGAAATTTTAGAACTTTTTGCAGAAAACGGCGTCAACATGACATATTAAGAAAAGGCAGACTGTAATATTTTGACATTGCCCGTAGGAATTCTAACTCAGAAATGTGCCGACATATCATTATCCAGGAATGCTTAATAAGGTAGATGATAGAGAATGCTGTATTAATTAGTGGCCTTACACGAAGGAAATGATAAAATTGTACAACATCTTGCAGAAAAGGACGTCGATCTGACAAAATAAACAAGGACAGAAAATACATTCTTCATATTGCTTGAAAATCTTAAGCAGGTTGATAATGAAGTATGGATTTCTGCATTATACCCACACAAGGAGTAAATATTGAAATGTCATCAGTTCTTGCATGAAATGGGCGTTGATAGGGCAAATAAACACAAATATGGCAGTTTTATTCTCTACACTTATTGCAAGAATTCTTAGAAATGTGTCAATCTATTATTCAACAACTATGATTCAGATGTGCTCAATCAATTGCATAATGCATGAGGTTTGTTTGTATATTTTTAAACTTCCTCTAGAGAAATTTTCACTCATATTGAGGTGGCAGAGGATAGTTTCGAATAAAGTACCGGTCAAAAAATAGAAAAAATAGAGAAACCTGAGGTTTGAATGCATATTATAGGTAATTTTATAGCTAGAATATTTTATGGGTGCATTTGGAGGGAATTGGTGGCCTTGTATATTTTATTGAGATGTGACACTTTACGCAGCACTGTTAAGGCCTACTATGAGAAATCAACGGAAAATATATGTACAAAAAGGAGGGTATTATTTTAAATTAAATTTATTTCAATAAAGCTGTTTTAAAATCACAGAACGTTAATTCCTATGGAAATAGCATAGTATTACCCACTCTGTACTGTATGAAGTTTAATCCCATCGATGGACAGTCACGTGATGAATGCATTGTACGTGTACTGAATGTAGGTCATTAACAAATTTCAATATCGCAAGGGCAGTATACCCTAGTTGAAATTAAAAATTCTAGCTAGTAATTGTTTCTGCACACTTCGTAGTTTCTTAAAAGTGCTGCTGCTTTGAATAGAATTCGCGTTTTAAGGGATAAATTTTAAAGTAAATAGGCCAATGTCAAAAAGTATTAGACTTTTACCAAATATTCTGTGTACTTATAAAATCACGCCTTCGATTTAAAGAAAGCAGCAGCACTTTTCCAGTTAAGGATAATATCCTTTATCTATTTTCAAAAAATGATTAAGATCTATACAGTGTATGCCCTAGCGAAAGTACGATTTTATGGTGCATCTCGATGTAAAATATACGTAATCTGTACATAAAAACACGACATAATTAATAAAATAAATTCTCTTGAAAGTTAATGAATAATCGTACTAAACAAAGGATCTACATTGGTATTAATCGAATATTTAAAACCTGTAAATGATATTCCGTTTTATTATAAAACGCATTTTTCATTGTTAAAAAATTCCTCAATCTGCCTCTCACAGTACATGAAATACGTCATGTTTACCAAAATGACGTCATATATACAAGTTAGTGCTTTGTTTAAAACTAGCTACACGGGATTTACCTAGCAACGTTTTTTAATGCATTGATAGGTTTAATTGTTGTTTATTATGCTAATACAGTTAAAAGTTGCAAATAATTTCATTTTCAGGTATCATGAGAAATACATAAAAGTCATATTATTGTGTGACGTCACAGTAAACTCTCCCCGTATAAATTAGGCCCCGCCCCCTAATTCAAGCCTTAACAATGCTGCGTAGTGTCACTACTACAGTATAGGGGATATGGACTAGAAATACGAAACTAAGCTCAAAACTCGCTCTACGGGTATTTCACCAGAAAAGCGGGGTGGGTTCACAGGATGAATTGTAGCTTGAAAACGAGGTGGTTGAGCCCACATCTCTTGCTGTTCATTGGTATGTACAAATGTTATTCTGCAATTTGTGTGGTAGCTTCGGTCATCAGCACGGGCCTGGAAGCAGATGCGGCTGCAGCGAAATAGTGAAAATAGGCTTGATTCACATGAAATTTTGAGATTATCCCTGCGCCATCTTTAGGGCTCGTTGTGTAAGTTGTACATGTTTTATTCCTAAAAGCTTCAAATTTCTCAAGGGACTACATCATACTTTTATTACATGTAGAGGGAATTTAAAATTTTTCAATGCACATTTTAAAAGCAGCTCAATATTAAGTAAACCGTCAGTCAAACGTTTTGATTGTAAAAAAAAACTATCCTTTGCCACCTGAGAGGCCACCACTTGCCTGTGAAGGACTGCATATTAAAATCTATACTCGGTGCTCAGGGACATTGCGCAGCAAGATATCTTCACGCATTACCTTCATTTATACGTACTCACCCGATGGACCTTTCTCTACGTGGGATTCGAACCCGCAACGTAAGGATCAACTCCATACTCTGCGACTCTAGAATATACACTCTAACCACTCTGCTACTTGGGCAATTATTGCATAGAATAATGAGTTATCTGTTTCCTGGAAGACGTTAAATTAAATGAAATATTTTAGTGATAAAATTAAACATTTGAAAGTGTAAGTTTGTGAGGGTGGAGGTGTATGTGGTAGGATGTGTGTGAATGTGTGCTATATCTGGACCCTAAAATATCCCGCAGAGAATAATTTCAAACAAGAATTCCTAAGTAATGCTAGATTTACGTATGAAGCCTGTAGTTTAAAGTATATTTTTGTCATTCATTACATGTATTTAGAGAAAAGGCAAATTATAATTACCGATATTTCCCTACATGTATAAGGACGATGAAACAAAATAGAAAAAAAATGAAATGTCTGAAATCCTTTAAAACTGTACGCAAGTGAGTTAAGGCTAAATATGGATATTTCTATGCAAATAAGCTAATGGAAATTCATAATTTGAAAATTTTATGTACAGAGAAGGTTGAAATTGATTTTCTGATACATTATCAGTACCCACAGTTTATTAATGCAAGTGCACATTATGACGTCATATTATGACGTCATTGTTCTCTCCCATTCAAGGTATTAAATCATATAAATAAAATCACGTCGGCGCAAGGGCCTATCCTATCTAATTTAAAATAAACAATGTATAATATTAAGGTGAATATTCTTGAAATTAATAAAATTGCTGCACAAATCCTTAGCACTTTCTCAATTGAAAAAAAGTTTAGGAAACTTACCCTGGACAGTGAATTTTTACCCTGTTAAAACTTAAAACTGCACGAATAGTAAGTAACCAATTGCACTGCCGGCATTTGTGCAGCAATATCTTAAATCCTTGGAATATCCTGCGTCTTTTGATACCTTGTTTCTGTAAAACAAAGTAAGGTATGCCCTTGCGCCGAAGCGATTTTGTTGATGTTTCTTATAAACTTGTGTAGTACAGGTCGATGACGTCATAATATGACGTCATAATGTGTACTGGCTATTGCATTCGTGGGTACCAAGAATGTATTAGAAAACAAGTCTTAGCATTTTCTGTGCGGTAGGTAGAGCAATTATGGAATTTAATTAGATATTTTGTATAGAAATTTCCATATGTAGCCTTAACTCACATGCGTACATGAATGATTTGAAAAATTATTTATTAACTTTCATTTGATGAAAATATTACCCAAGGTGACTGAAAGCAATTCTTTATGTCACAGATAGTTAGATGATCAGAAAAGTTCACATACTCAGGTTAGTTAAAATGCTTGTCACGTCTGCATTATACATGAATTGTTACAGCATGTAAACAAACATCTTGACCTACGGGGTTTAAAGAAATAGTCATATTTGTTTCTCTATGTCAGTCTCTATGAGGATGTCAGCTTTGTTTTAGAGCTGCTAATAATAAAGCAAGTTCTTATTGTTTTGGATGACACAAGGTAACCTTTTCGATGTGTATCTCATCAGCTTTTATATTTTAAAATAAAAGTTTTTGACCATGGGAGGTTATCCTTCGACGTTAACAAACCCAGTCTCTGCTGGAGTTTGTGATAAAGACTATTGAAATTAATGAACTAACTTTCGGGTGCTACATTAGAGTAAGGTTTTTTCTGTAAATACAAGTGTATGAACAGGGCATACGTTTATAGATTTCATCTTGTTTTATATATTCATTTATAAAACAGTTTCGTTAGACATGAAAAAATAAGATAAAACTTTACAAAACATATCACGACAGCACATATGAAAAATGAACTCATAGATTAACGAGTTCTAACATTACTTATATTTTATGCATAGATATTGTCTTTCCAAAACGTAGTAAAGATTTTTTTTAGAAAATGTATATCGTAATATTTGGATGTTTAAAAAACATGTCATGGATAAAAGTCCATGTATATAACTAACTAATTTTTCATATTAAAATGATCTGATAGACAATACTGCTACTTTCAGTTCAATGTTTAGAAAAATCGACGTCAGTTTATCAATTTAAAATATTCATTTTCTTCCCTATGTTGACTAGAAATATCTCTATTGAGTCGACATAAAAATAAAACACAAAGTGTGAAGCTTAGTTTCAAATCAAAGTATTCCAATAGAAAAGTCACTAACATTTCCTACATTTCTATCGTTAACTTCGCTTGCTTATGTAGCAATACACCCTTATCACCTAAATATAGGGGTTATGCCTCCCAATTGATGTGATACACAAGATCAGGTTCTTGTATTGAAAAATTTATAAAACGAGACAAGCAATTGACAAATAAGTTGATGAATATATATCAACCTGGGCCTCATTAAAAATTGATCATTTTCAAAGTTCTTAAGTCGGTGCAAATACGTACCTTGTCAGCAACTTCAATCTATCAGTACGTCGCATTTTTACGAATTTTTCCATTTTATTGAACATGTATCACAAGGAGCCGAAGCGAATGTGACCGGTCGACAGAGAATATTTACTCTTCCGTGAAACCTAATTCGACCCCCGATGTTTTGAAGATCGTAGCGCACTTTTTTGTGCGCAATAAATATACAGTTTTTTTAATGGGTGGCACTGTAGCTCTCCGGTCTATCAATATATATTTTTTCGGAGAGCTACAGGTCTGCAGCTATGA